CTCCACCTGTGTATATGGGGACAACATATGCTGGGTGGCCCCCACCCCCCATAGTTGATAGATGGGATCCTGAGACAGGACCTCGAAGATTAGCATGCTCTGTACTTGAGGATGCGAGAGGGCAGTGATATCACCAGGCTTTGGATTTTAAAATTGTAAAGCAGTTAAAAGAAGCTGTAGCAGCCTATGGTCCTCAAGCCCCTTTTACCATAAGCATGGTTGAGTCCATTGCAAGTTTAAAGTTGACACCAGCAGATTGGGCTAGCAAGTGCAAAGCTGTGCTAAATGGAGGACAATATCTATTATGGAAAGTTACCATGTGCAAATCTATTTGTTCATTTGATAACCAATTACCATCTAATCCTTTGTTGTCTTTTTGGTCCTCACATCCTGTAGTTTTTCCAAAAATGGTTTCCACAGGGAGAACAGCAGCCGATTTGGATTCCAGAGAGGCTAACTAAAGCAATTTCTACAGACCAAAAAGAAGATGATTTGGCTCAAATCCATAACAGTTGATATCCAGAACTCCAGTTTAGCTATCCGTATATCTGTGACAGTGGTTCTCCCACACCTGGAGGCTAATGAATAATGAGAACCATTGAGGCCTATTTCAAATGTAAAAAACCTTGAGGCTTAATTGTGGGAATACCTTCAAACCCATATGCAAGTTACAGGAAGAAGGATGGGATATCAAAAGAAGAGTCAAACCCAGGTTGTAGCCAGGATGCTTTTTTCAATATCTATTTTATTATGCCCTCTCCCACGTCATGGAGTTCTATTTTATTTTTTGAGCTCATACAGACCTAGGTTAATGTTTTTCTGATCAGTTCTATTTTTTGATCAACTGTGGAGTTTTTAAACATTGCAATGGAGATTTCACCTGTGAAAAGCTACAAGGCCTTTACTATTGTGTTATGTGTGCACACTTGTGTTATGTGTTGTATGTCTGTATGTGCATATGTCCGTATGTCATACATTTGATATGAAAATTGGCAGATATATGAGGAGTGCTCATGAAAAATTAAAAAAAATCGATCCAAATATCTTTTATTCACATGATTTAAACAGTTTAATTTAAATTGGGTAAACAAATGAAAGTAAAGATGTCTTTAAAATTAAGCTTACAAGTTTTTCTAGGTGTTAAAAAAAACTAATAAAATGTTGATGTCTATGAAATAATCTACCTAAATTCATAAATTTACAAGGAATGTTTTAAAATGTGAACAAAACTCCTGTTTGTTTACTTTTACCTTTCCTTTTCATTACATCTAATAATTCTGTTCAGGATAATGTACTAAATTGTTCAGAAAATTGTTTTCTTAGTGCCTTCTAGAATGCTACACAATTTTCTTTAGCCATCATTGCCAGAATTCCTACCTTTATCCCAGTGCCAGTGAAGACAAATATAGAAGAATTTCCAGTATTACTGAGAACCAAACGAGACTTTGGAATTACAGCTGCCATCATCACAGCTGTTTCTGTTTCTGCTGCTGCTGCTGCTGCAGCTTTTGCGATAGGTATCCACACAAACTGTACAAACTGCTGCATCAATAAATAATTTAACTCAACAAGTAGTACAAGCTTTACAAACACATAGCATTATTAATGATCATCTTAGAAATGGAATTCTGATGCTCAACCAAAGAGTCGATTTACTTCAAGAAGAAATAGACATATTAATGGATTCCTCTGTGTTAAGCTGCTTACAGAACTTACCTGGACTGTGTATCACTTAATATTTCTCGAGCAGCAGATCTATCCAGACAACTAGGAGTCATGCTTAATGGCACATGGAATGTAAACTTTCAAAATTTAACTAATCTATTGAGACAACAAATTGTAACTCTTAATAGTACCAGAGTGTCTTTGCCAACAGTGTCATAAGTGGTATAATTTTTCCAAGGGTTTCTCACTTGGAGCCGTCAATGGCTTGGAATTGTGGCATTTTGTGTTCTCCTTCTGCTTGTGGCAGGTTGTTTATGGTGTTTGTGTAAATTACACAGACAAAAAAAAAGAAACCACTATGGTCGTTAAACAGGTCATGATGGCCCTAGAAACAGGGCAAGATCCACAAGTATGGCTAAATATATTGGGCCGGTAGTCAAAGACGGGTAAGATCCAATTACAACGGTACCAACCTAAGCCAGGAGGCTGACAATTTGAGGTCAGACCATCCAGTGACTGATAAGGACCATATGTAGTATTGGAGTACCTAAGACAGGCACAGTCCCTAAACCACATACTTGTTGTTTAATAACACAAAAAGGGGGAGATGTTTGAATCTGCGATCAAGTCAAGATGGCGCCTGGCAGTTTTCCAGGAGGAGTGGTTTGTGAAGCAACGCCACCGAGCCATCAAGATGGTGGGGACTCCTTATTGGCTGCTTGCTGTATCTGTAGGGGAGCAATGCTATGATTGGATGATGCTGATTGAGTCAAGCTGTATGTAATCAGTTAGATATATATACCTCTGCTGTTTTGCAATAAAGCAGTTCTCGCTTCAACCTTCAAGTTGCTTGTCACCTCCTGGTTATTTTTCCCAGCCAGACTTCGGCATATGTTGTTCCAGGATCTTCTAGCTTTCAGGGTCTGTGTTGAAAAATCTGCCATTATCCTAATTGGTTTCCCCTATATGTAATCTGATTCCTTTCCCTGGTGGCTTTTAAAATTCTCTCCTTATTCTGTAGGTTGGGCATTTTTATTATAATGAGCCTTGGTGTGGATCTAGTGTGATTTTGTACATTTGGCATCCTGTAGTCTTCTTGAATTTGGATTTCCAATTCATTCTTTATGTTTCGAAAGTTTTCTGATATATTTCAATGAATAGATTGTTCATTCCTTTGGTTTGGACCTCTATATGCCTTCCTCTATCCCAATAACTCTTAAATTTGGTCTTTTTATGCTATCCCATATTTCTTGAATGTTCTGCTCATGGTTTCTTACCTTTATCACTGTGTGGTCTATGTTCTTTTCAAGATTATATATTTTATCTTCATTGTCTGATGTCCTCCTATCTTCCAAGTGGTCTACTCTGTTGATGATGCTTTTATTTGAGCTTTTAATTTGGTTTGTTGTTTCTTTCCTTTCAAGGATTTCTGTTTTTTTTTTTTTCCGAACCTCTATCTCCCTGTTGAGATCATCTTTTGCCTCCTGGATTTCTTTATGTAGCTCCTTGTTGAAGTGATCTTTCACTGCTTGTATTTGCTCTCTTATATCTTCCTTGAGTTCACAGAACACTTTAACAGTGTATATCCTGAACTCTGGCTCTGTAATTTTTTCTAATGTGGCTGCCATCTAATGATGTAGTGTCTTGATTTGTTTGGGGTGCTTTCTTCCCTTGTCTTTTCATGTTGTTTGTGTGTCTTCCTTTCCAGCTCTGTGGGTGTGGAGTGTTACTGTTTTTACCCTATAGGTTTGTAGTGCTCTTGTAGGGTTCCAAGATCCCTCCTTTGTGGGGAAGGACAATGTTAATTAACAGATCCCAATATCAACAATCATCTATGCACAATTTGTTGTTATTAAGACGTTTACAGTTTAGTCTCAATGTACAAAGAAGTTGGATTCAATTATTATCTAAAATATAATCAGTTTTGTAAAAAGGTTTACAGTTTCTGACAGTGGACAATGAACTAGGGGTGGGGCGTAGGACGTAGGAGGAAAAATGTAAGGATATAGAGTCAATATATCTTAGGAAATGTGAAGGAGAAATCTAATGAAGAGGGTTAGTAGCAAGAGAATAGACAGGAAGTAATTTAGGGTGGGCAAGTACGTGGTATGACAGTAGAGTACATATGTATTAAGAAAAATACAGGATGTTAAAATTTGGAGGGGGAAAGAAAAATGAAAGAAGAAAGAAGAGGGGAAAAAGGGCATATACAATACTTCTATATTATTTTATTCAGATGACTCAGTCCTCAAAATCCTATTTCATGAATAGTTCTTGGTTTCACATATGTTGATGAGGGCTGGAGGAGAGAGGGGTAGAAGAGAAAAAAAAAATACCTTGAAAGAAGAAACCAGGGTTGTTGCTAGTTTTAGAGATCCGTATCTTTTCTGTTTCTCTTCTCATCCAGTAGGTGGGGTTATCTGTTTTAAGCTAGTGTCTCTGCCCTCAGGATGGTGTACGTAACCAGGGTGGCAAGACTGGTCCTGGTGTAGGGCATCTGGAAGCAGGGAGTGCCACCCGCCAGTCCCTGCAGAGAATTTGCACTTCACGTCTCTTTTTGGGACTGCTTGTCTGACTTGAGCGCCCAGTATTATCTCCCTCTCTTGCCTAGAAATTTCCCAGTTCCTAGTCTCTCTGTTAGGCTCCAAACTTTAGTCCTGTCTCCCTCTCTCTTAGCAGTTCCCTACTGCAAGACCTCTCACACCAAGGCTCACACCAGGTGGGCGGCGTCCTGATCACACTGCAAACCTGCCCAACTAAGAACTTTTTTGTGTTGGGAGGTCACTGTACTGAGTTATCACCTGCTGGGG